TACAAAGAACTTGGTTGGGAATCATTGTCTAATCGCAGAATAAAACACAAAATAATTTATTTATATAAAATGAAGAATAACCTAAGCCCCACTATTCTGTCTGAAGTCTTTAAACAATTTGAACCGTTAGTATCAAATTATAACCTTCGTAATGAAAATCTGACCCTCAATTTTATAAAACCAGTTCATATTCTAATAGTTTCTTTCCCTGCACAATTAAACTTTGGAACAACTTACCTGAAAATATTAAAACCTCACAAACCTTAAGTATATTTAAATTGGGCCTTTCATGTGTATATCCTTTAATTAGGCCACCATTATATTATAATACTGGAAATAGGAAAGATTATTATCCATTGCCAATTAAGAAAAAAGGCAAGTAACTTAAATAATCACTTATTCTACATTTTATTAGTGAAACAAAAGTGTGCCCTAGGTGTAATTCTGCAGACGACGATAATATCCATTTTTTTATATGTCCAGCATACTCTGCCCCAAGAACAATTCTCAAAAATAGTCTACACCACCTTAAACATATTTGAAATAGTGCAAACATACATAAAAGACAGCAAGAGATTTTAACACTTAAAATTACACCCCAAGAAATTTATATATGTTTGTAACTCACTGTCTGTACATATGTCCACCATTGTTTATTGTAAACATAAGATATAACTATTTTCTATGTTGGGAGAGAACTTATATAGGTCTTTGCATGTTGTTCAATCCAATTCAGTTTATTGAATAAAATATTATTTATACTAACGAAGGCGGGCATGCGCCATACAGTGGCTTTTTACGTGCATGCAAACGTGTACCTCGTTTTTGCACAATCCGAACGACTAGACACTATCCATTGCCAACTTTCTCTGCCAAAACCGGGATGAATCCGCGAGCTCCGGGTTAGTGAGCACGGAACTAACTAATAAATTACTCTGTTAATAACCTACGTGCATCATTATGTTTTCAACAAGTATCAATTTTATTTATCAAAATTAATTTATTATTTCAGTTCGTTCTATCTAACCTTACACCACTAACCCCACCAAAAATAGATTTTCCAGCCGCGACCGACACTATTTATTTTTTGTTTGTGAAGGGGGGGGGGCATGAACCGTGAACACAGAATTGGCCTTAGTCTAAGGTTTTACATGACCATTGAAGACAAATAATATGACAGTAACTAATTCATCAATAATCCATTTTTTTTTAAAATATCAACAAGTATATCAACAATTATCAGTATATCCCTAAAGATGCATTATGTAAGATTTAGAGTACAGGCTGGTAGTTCCCTGCTATAATAGTCTAAAAATAGATAATGAGAAATGAAATTTCAATTAAATAACTTTTTTCTGGGCGAAATTATGAAGTAAGTAGCGTGGATTGTTTATTATCGTATTTATATCTCGCGGGCGTCCAAACCCAATTAAATCTCTGCCATCCGATGTTCTGGAAAGGGTATGCAGTTTTTCTCATATTGAGCAAAGGTATACTGTGATTTACTTATTTCGTCTAATTAGTAAAATAATATTTACCTGATCAGACATATTAATTGTGTAGCAATAATATTTACAGTAAACTGATAGTAAAAAAACGTCAAATCAGTCAGGGGGTAATTGGTGGTTAAAATATTGCTAGCCGGATGTGGACAGTGTAGTTGATAAGATATGCACTCGATGTGGGCGCGTCGTCGTTTCTGGAGTTTAATGTCCACTTCCACCAGGGTTGATATCGTAGACAATGAGATGTGGGGCGGCCTGCCTCTGTTTTTGTACGCCGTACAAACGCCATGTTTGTTCTATAGGGCGTTGTTTTTATTTATTTAATTATTTCTGTAGTTTTGTAATCGGAGTTCAGCTTTAAGTAGTGGTAAATGCATAAAGTTTTGTCATTATGAATGTTATAGCTCTACTTCTAAATTGCATTCAAGGATCTTACCGTTGATTATACCATACTATAGTGTGCATAATTTTATAATCAATACATTTGGAATTTTCTAAATAGAAAGGGTCCTCCGGTTTCCTCCCTCTGCTAAAGACCCCTACGCGCAAGCGAATTATTGAAATAAAATTTTAAAAAATGACCTAGTTTATGTCGAGTTGACGTTAAACCCCATCTCTCTGTCTAAATAGAAAACACATTTTGAAGTTCATATAATACCCCTCTGAGTGTATCAATTTTATATGAAAAACAATCACTGGTTTATACACATATAGCACGACGTTTCGACACATATTTTCTCATCATTTGTGCGTGAAAACGATAATAGAATACTTGTCGAAACGTAATACTTGTTTTCCATATAAATTGTGTTGTGTTTTTTTAATGTGCTCAATTGCTAAACGCCAATCAAGGATTAAATTTTAATTGTTATTACAATATCTTTCCTAAAGCGTAAAAAACACTCGTGTGTATAAATTATAAAAAAAAACTATTAATGTGTAATATTCAATCGAGGGAACACAATCAGTCATTTTCTGCCCAAAATAAACTTTTCAGAGAATAATAAAGCATATTTCTATCTGGGCAGACTTTTACGACCTCACGAACACCTAGTGCTGATCGTCACGCATATTAGATTACGCCAGTAACAATGATTCAATTTATAGTCTTCGAAACGTAATGTTAAATACTTGCAAATATTCTACATGTATATACATGTAATTTTACTACGGCGTGGATAAAGATAAATTTCCGAGAAGACGGAAAAATTGTTAAATTCTTCTTTCTACTGAGTGAAATTCAGAAATAATCGTCAGACGAAACATTTATATGGTTTGAGGTTCTGCACGCCCAACAGGCGTTGTTCCAATACTCAAAATGACGGGTATTCTATCCTTTTGCCACATACAAATCTGGGATCAATAATCGCCACTTGATTCAATGAAATGGGATCGAAACCTCCCCACCTGATTCCATGTTAGACACGGTAAGAAATATATCTATGAGGTTAGACAGGAAATCCTACCAAGCCTCTTTACTCAACGGTAGACTCTGTGACTCATTGATATGTCTTATGATGATATGATGTCAACCAAAATTGGTATAATGGAAATCCTGGAGAATTTAGTGTGGGAATTATTATTTTGCACAACGTTTTGTCGACACTTTGGGTGAGATGAGGATACATAGCTTTAATTTAATACATGTATGCAGTGTAACATGTGCTGTGCAGGATAAGTCGTCATTTTCTATCCGATATGTATATATAAAACAAAAGAATAAAATGTGAAATCCTCAATTGTGAAGTAGTGTGAAGTTTTCTCGAAATGCTAATGATATCTGCGAATTGCAATAACCCTTAAAATACACAGTCATCTGTGTACTTGTAGCTAAATGCTGCGATAATTGTTCAGCAATCTGGTTAAAACACAAATCCTGTTTCGTTTCGTTTTTATAGTTCAAAATTTCGTTTTACTTGTGTTTACTACACTTGGATCTGGAAGAGTTGTTATTTAACCCGTGTTCTGAATGGTGCCAGGGATAAGCCAATGAAACGGTCTGTTACGGCGAGCTTTAGGCGTGTTTTTCACGGAACTGTAGGTAATCCACTAGTAACATCAATGCTGATTGGTTAATCAAATGTCTGACGTCATAGGGTCATAAGTCGGTCTTTTGACCCCTGACGTGACCTATCGCTATAACTTGTCAGATCTTCATGTAGTGTAGGCCATCGAAAGTATAAAAAAACGAAACGAAATATAGATCTGTATTTTAATCAGATTGATTGTTCAGCGATGTCGTTTAGATTACCACTTTTAGCAGCTAAATCTCTATTTTCTGGAACGAACTTAAAAAGGCCAAAAATGGAATGAAAAGTCCATATTGATGTAATATGAATTGATAGTAAGGGGTTTACATTCAATTTTCAAAAATTGCATTTTAATTTCTAATCACTTATGATCGCTGAGATACGCGAGCAGTCCAAATTGCGCCTTACGTTTTACCTCGTTCATCAAGGCGATACATTACAAATTGCGATTGGTATCAATGAGAAAACGACGTCACAGACTGATTTTAAATGTCCATTGTGTCTTAAATATTGGATAACAGGAGCCCGTATCAGTATTGATTGAAATCGGCCAATATTAAATTTTAATTCGTGTTTTTAAAGTCGAATATTATGGATAAGTATGGGATTCATTACTATTTTTTTATTTACGCTTCTACACGAATAAAATAATTACCACTTCACAGCTTGAGAGTAATTTAATACTCTTATCATTTGGCTTAACAATAGCCTATATCATAAAACTGCACTGAACTGATTTAATTTAGATCGTTTTAACTTACAAAATAGGTAAATTATATACACTTGTAATAACTTAACATTATAATTACCCCAAACAATAGTGCACTGCTAACAACGTGTTGAGATTAAGATCAATGTCTCAAAGACAGACAGACCGAATGAGGTTTAAGCGTCCACTCGGTACAAAATAGGTCATTTCGGTACAATTTTATTCGCTTGCGTGTAGGGGCCTTTAGAAGTGGTTGGGGGCACACACGATTGTGTTGTCGTCTATACAGCTTGTTATGGACAGGCTTGGAATCGACACAAAGCCACGTGACCCAATGACAGACCTATGATCTAATACGTACGAATAAGACCACTCTGAATAAGTGGCCCTAACTAAACTCTGCTAGAATAGGAGCACAAGGGAGATAACTGACACGACCCTTTTTTCCCCCGCGTTACGTCATCTAAAAATAATGGTGCTTATAACTGACAGCCCCAAACCAGCTTTAGACTTTACCCAACTCAAGAGTCATAAATAAAAATGATTCATATCTTAGTGATTACACTTGATATTGTATTTGATGATATGATGATCTACGGTTAGTTACAAAATAATTGTAAGGTATATCATTTTAAAACACTTGTCATATTTCATTACACTTGGTATTGTATTTGATGATATGATGATCTACGGTTAGTTACAAAATAATTGTAAGGTATATCATATTTCATTTTTATCTTAGCAACAAAACAATATTAAAACAATACGATTGGTTAAAACTAGATACATAGATCAAGGACTAAGGAAGTATCTTCAAAGATTTTCTAGCTGTTAGTTCAAGAAAGAACTCCCAAAAATCATGAAGATACAGGTTTTTATTGTGGTGGCTGTTATAGCTGGTAAGTTAATTTTAATGTTGTTTAAATTTTGAATGGAGGTCGGTGGCGGTATTTCATATTTTAAGGTATATTTTTCTCAACCGACTACTTGGTGAACTAATAGTATAAAATTCCCTAATCTTGCTGTGACGACATCTATACATTATAACATATGAAAACGCCTATAGAGAGCAGACAGCTAGCTTATGCTTTGATGTATATCAGAATGAAGCAAAACTGTTTTTTTTTTTAATTTATCTACCGTTAATATAGAAGTACTTGTACTTTAACGTTAGCATAAAAATGTAGTTTTATTTTGCCATCTTTAATTTCAATTATACATAATTATATGAAATGCTTGATTATTTTTTAACTTTTTTCTATTTAGTTTGGGGAGGGGGCGAATAGGAATGGGTCTATTTTAGACCGGGGTTAACGGAAAGGAGTTATCTTAGGGCTGTCGAAATAAAATATCGTGAAACATCACCGCAAACCTTGATGAACACACGGACGATAAGTTTGAGATAATACTAATAGAGACTTTTGGCAATCGGAATTTTCGCGTCGCTGAGCTGAGGTAAGTCGTATTATAGCATCACCACCAGTACTAGTCAAGTGCCTAGCCTACAATTTCCTGGAGGGAGTGAAGTCGCTCGACAGCCGCTGGGCTATCAAAACATTTTTAATGTAGAATCTTATTAAAAATCTTCGACTTCGACTCGACCTGAGTTTTTGGTTTCACTGATGTATCATTTCAGAAAGTTCATACCCCGTTACCATAGAATAAAATCATTTACAGATTTGCAAGGTCCCCGCCTCCCTAAATGTAGCACGTAGATCAACCAGAATGCAGGCAGACGGTAAAAATATGAAAATTCCGAGAAAAACCCATCAAAAATAATGATTAAATTCCAGTCGTTATCATGGTTAAAATCACATCAAATATACACCTTCGTATTCCAGGATACACATAGATTCATAAAAACGCTATGATACAACATTTCAGCGTCTAAAAGTAGCAAAAAAGACGGTAGAAAGACAACGATGTTATACGGACCTTATCCGTAAGAAAGCTGTTCGATACGTGCTGCCGTATCACGTATACGAAATACGTATACACACACATTGATGACGTCACACGCAAAATCCATACGGATACGGACCAGGAAATTATGCTTGCCAAAAGTCTCTATTTTCTTGAGAGACGTATTACTGCGGCGGAGGTAGCAGATATAATTTGTGATTCCGTGTAATAAAACACTTAAACCCCACATATCAAGTTTACTTAGTATGATATAATAAGTTCAGATCTACACCTTTTTATATGTTTTATTGGGCTTCATATTGTGGCCATTGCCTCCATTTTTATTTTCAGCCGTAGGTCGAAAACACGAGAAACGGAAACGCGAAATCACAAAAATGACAACAGAACAAAATGGAAATCACGACAAGCCGTTATATTTTGTCGAATATTGTTGTCGCTTTTTTCACGTGTTTTCGTAAAAATTGGTTTTACTCGGGATAAAAGATAATGAATGATCTATACTATCCGTTTTGGATGAACACGTCTTTGAACGACGGTTGGTTAGATTTCACTACAGTGTACAAGTAAAAACGATACATGTAGCCCAGGAGCTGGCAAATATTTAATTAGCATCTCGAGTACAAAAGGTTTGAGGCTTGGAATTAGTAGGTCGAGGCCCCCAAAAAGGCAACTCTTAAGTTATGCTTTTGGAGGCACTGTCGGGAACTCTGTTTATATTCCCCCGGGGGGGTACCAAGGAACAGTTTGATATCTATTTTGTGCTTGTACTGGAGGTATGTACTGAGATATGCATTTAAGGTGGATCGGGCATGGCCGACCAAAGGTGACCTTTGACCTATTCAGAAGTGGGCTTATCCCAAAAATTGAATTATGGATTGGTGTCCTAAGGAACAGTTCGATACTCACTTGTGTGTTTGTGTCGTGATTTTCATTTAAGGTAGATTGGGTGTGACCGAACGATGAGACCTATGACCTACTCAGAAGGTGGTTGCCCCAAAATTGACTACTCAGAAGGAGTTACATTGTCATTAGGGATCCTAATGCAAGGAACATTTTGACACAGGGTTCTTTGATGTACTTGAGGTGTGTAACGAAACCAATTTTGGGGTGATGTGAACAGCGTCCCTTGGTGGTGCCCCAAAAGGCATAAATTAAGAGTTGTGTTTTGAGGTCCCGATCATAGATCTACTAATTCCAGTCCTCTAACCGTACGTACTCAATGCTAATTAAATTTTTGCTAGCTCTTGGACTAATGATAATCATAGCAAGGAATGTGTGAGGTGTTTAGTCTCCCATTTAAGATGCGGCCCAAACGCCCGTTTCACTGGTTACTTAAAACTAATCCCAGTTTAATATTTCTGTCTTTGACAAAACAAATATATTTAACAGTTTTAAACCACCAGGAGAGTGTATCGTCAACACACTAATACACGGGTTGGACGATTTACTCAATACCACCCAATACTAGTCACTACTACTCAATACCGCCCAACACTACTCAATATTATACTTAATACCGCCCAATACTAGTCAAAATTACTCAAAACGCCCAATAGTGATAAAAAATACTACTCAATACCACCCAATAGTAACCAAATACTACAATACCACCCACAGTACTAACTAATACTATCCCATTATTTTGTTTCTTTGTAAATCACCTGGGGTTTTTTCATTTAGTGAAGCCTGTATCATTACAAACCCGGGACTGTACATCACATCCATTCACTTGATTTGATATTAATTTGTTGTTTATTCCTTGCAATATCTAGTTTGTCTTGTTGATAGGTTCGTCCAGTCTGTTTTATATTGAGTGTAGTACGGTCATCCGCACTTATTATTTGAGCGACATTTAGCAATTGACACGCGTAATTAACACAAAAACATGATATGAAACACTATTTTAATTAAAGCGTTTTTTGTCGAGTGTTCTCTCAACGTTTTCAAGCAAATGATATGGTGAAGAATTTACACAATACTTCAATTATATATTTTCGAAAAATGAGTTAATTCGCGGAAAAAATTGCAATAAAAGATAAATTGATGAAATTATATATTTTTAATTTTTTTTTTACAATTGGAATGATTTTACATTGCAGTTGAGACACTCTTCATTGACTTCAACTAGAATAGATCAGCGTGGGTCGAGAAGAATCTTTTCAATTTCTGGAGCCCTATTTTCTCATGTTTTGTTTGCATTATGGAATGCTAGGAACTCTTGTTTGTCTAATCAAATGCGGGCTCCAAACGTGTCACACAATGACGTACACGTTAAAAGCCTTGGCTGCTTGAATCGGAAGAAAAGTTGGGGAAAACACAAATCACCTTCCGTAATAATAGAAATCGAACTTATTATCAAGCTGAAATGGTTAAAGATTGCGGCATGAAATACACTTAAACAAATGAAACATAATGTCACTCTAAATGCCATAACTTATTGGTGGACTTTAATAATGGTAATAATAGTTTATTTATGTAAATATTACAGAAATGCTTAGATTTTACATTGTTATTCTAGTTTTAAGCTTTATAAATGTGACGAATGGTCAGTGTACAGAAGAAAAGGGTAACGCATGTAAAACCACTTACGACGGTTCCGTGAACAGTACGTCTAGCGCCGAGGACAACTGCACGTAAGTATCATCGAATGTAATGGAAAATAATACAGAACAAATAATTATAAATGGATTACACTAAATAATAAGTTAAATATCAAATTCTTGGACGTCGAGTATATAAACTTGTATGATATATTCTGCATGTATTTAATTAAGACTAACGAGCGGTTCGGAAAGGAAGGTGACAATGGTCTAATACAGCTGGTTGGCGTTTATTACTTTGTGCAAAGTTGGCATGCTCAGTTCATATTGTATAATAAAATTAAATGATATATGTGTTATAGAATAAAACAAAATCAATATATGGAGAAGAAAAATGGCGAGAGTCACACCTAGATAGTTTGTACAAGGCGTCATGAAGACGTCCGTTAATCCGCCCCCCCCCCCACCACACACACACACACACACACACACACACACACCATCCCCACACCTTTGTTAGAAAGAAGAAGCATAATATCTACACGAACATGACACTTTATAAGAAGATGTGAGATATAAAAAAATAGACTAGACATAGTTACAGGGGAGGGTCAATTATGATTGGATATATCGGTGTCAATTGGGACTTTTTTAAAAAAAAAAGTCGCGATACTGTTAATTCCGTAAGACAGATGAAGTTGCAATGACCACTATTCATTATATTCTATCCTCTATTTTTTATATTCTGCTCTCTATTCTTTATATTTTAACCTCTATGCTTTATCTGACTTCTATTCCTTATATCCTAACCCCTATTCTTTATAATCTGACCTTTATTCTCCTCCCTTCTTAAAAGTTACAAATATTTCTAGAGTTGATTTTTACTATTTCAGAGCTGCATATGTCTATGGTAAATGTTTAATTGATGAAACGTGCTATAATGATGACACCCAGAGAACTGCTTTCACAGGGGAAGTAGGATCTGACTTAATATGTAAGTAAATTTGGCAAAACGTTGGAATAATGCATATGAAAGAATTATACATATACCACCTTGAATGTCGTTGACCGGTGATATATGAAACATTGTTAGAAAACGTCTTCCGCTATATGAAGATAGCTTCCATAAAATGAATATATATTTCATTGAATGAAATATTTATCAAACACTTTATGTCTTCTAAAGGTTCGGAACCCGAGAAGGGGACGTTGATGAGGACTTGGGCGGGAAAAGGGGCAGAGGTGGGAACGGGGACAGGGAACCACTTGGGTATACGTGTGTCTGTTGCGGTATGTTATAGTACAACCAGGGTATCAGGAAAGTGTTGTAGTGAGAGAGAGATGGGGTTTAACGTCCACTCGACTGAAACTAGGTCATTTCGGGAGTAACACATGGTTCAATTTTATTTCAACAATGCGCTTGTGCGTAGGGGTCTTTAGCAGTGGGAGGAAACCGGAGGACCCTGAGAAAACCCACGAGGTTGGGCAGGCGACCATACTCCTTGTCACATACAACCGAGGAATCGAAACCACGCCAGTTGACTCAATGACAGACCTTATGATACAACCCGGACGCGCTAACCATTCCGCCACCCCAGTGTGTTGTAGTGCAACCAGGGTACCAGGAATGTGTCTTGTAGTACAAGGGTATCAGGGGTGTATTATAGTATAACCATGGTATCAGGAGTGTGTTGTAGTACAACCGAGGGGCAGGGGGATAGTACAACCAGGGGAGCAGAAGTGTGTTGTAGTACAACTAGGATATCAGAAGTGTGTTGTAGTACAATCAGGATATGAGAGTTGTGAGGGTCCCAATGATACCTGTCTGTTGCGTCACGATGTATTGTAGTATATCCAGGGTATCAGTAGTGTATTGTAGTACAACTAGGATATCTGGTAGTACAACCAGGGGCTGGTGGGTGGGGTGGGTGGGCCCAGCCAGGATAGTTCTTAGTGTTTAACGTCCGCTTCTACCGAAGGTGATATCGCAGGCAAGTCTTATTTTTTTCATTTTCAAGCGCATGGGTCTTTCCTGTGGGAGGGAACCGGAGTGCCCGGAGATTGAGAAGGCGTTATATCTTTAAGCCACATACGCTCACACCAGGGATCGAAACCACAACCGCAAGCCAGAGGTGACCGGCAAGCTAGAGGTCGAAGCGCGGTACTCTAGACCACTAGGCCATCCCAACCCCCCAACCAGGGTATCGGGAGTATGTTGCTTTATACTGACATTGTCTCAAAATTGTGGCGAATCGACTCGGTATGTCTAGTAATTTTAAGCCCCCGGAATTCGGATTGGTTTGTCTCTGATTAAAAGCGGTACGTCACATTACAGCTTTTTCGGATTGAATTCAAATTGAAAATGAAATGAAATGAAATGATGTTTAACGTCCTACTGTTCTGCTCCGACTTGGCTAATGAAGACGGGCATACGTCATACAGTGTTCTATGAGGGAAATTTTGGCCGGACAGCGGCGTTACGGCCTACTCTTATATCTAATTCCAACTGCCAAGGCATATTTTACTTGCACTCCAATGTATACACGTGACCTCGGTTTTTCGTACCAACCGAACGGCTAGACAGCTATACTAGTCTAGTCTAGTTGTTGATCTGTTGCTAATATTTAATTTCTTGAGAGGGGCAAGTCTACATCACCGACACCGGTCTTGCATCTTCGGCATCTTACAATTGATCGTCGGGCACGATTCTTCTGCACCCGAATCAAAGTCATGATGATGATTACTCTTCTGGTCGAGTTTGCTGTGCATCAAGAAGTATATACATGTACTTCACTCTCGACACTGTACTAGCGAACATACGAGCGTACATTTCATAAATAAAATCCTTTTAGCACTAAAAATGCATAATGCAAAGTAATGAATTTTGTTGTCATTTTCATCCAACTACACACAATAAAGATGGCGTGACATCCTTATGTTCTGAGCACACATGGTAAGGGCTACTTTCAGCGGTGCAGATGCTAGTACAGGCCTACGTTACGTTGGGTAATAGTTCTATTTCTAAACAAAATAGTTGATTAAAGAAAGACATATTAACATTCACAGGGCGCTAAATTTTTCTATCTTCGGAACTTAAAAGATGATATTAAAAAGGCATGGACACAAGCAAAGGCCAAAATGTGCTTGTTGATCACGTATCGTAAGGCCTGTATCAGAATCCGTACCGCTGGAAGTTGTTCGGATCAAGTGGCATGACGTCATCGCCATCATTTCCTAGGATCGCTATACAGGCTCTACTAGACTGAAGTTTACTGGAGCTGGCCTTTGTATTTGGATTTTTAACTAGTTATGTTACCGCAGTATATGTTTCAGTGAGGTAGGGCTACGGCTATGTAGGCTATATCCCAACTGATTGGTGTTTGCAATATTAATTTTTATTTATTTGCGGAATATTGTCCCGGAATATACACACCTTTCCATCCAAGCCATAAAACTAAAGTAGAAGTGAACATGCGCGCAAAGTTATTCGGTTCCGGTAAACCCATGGATCTGAATCAAGCGCGCCACACTGCGATTAACCCGTTTTGGAATAGTTGTTCCAAATTGAATTTTGAAAAAATATACGGATTCGTTATTTCAGATTCAGTTCGGATTTTAGCGAATTGAGTGTGACACCTAATTCCTGAATAAGACTTTATTCTTTATTCTGATTAAACCCCCGGTGTGAGCGCACGTTTAGATGAATCAATTCTATTAAAAATGAAATGAAATGGAGTTTAACGTCCTACTGTTCTGCTCCTAACCTGGGCTAATGAAGACGGGCATGCGCCATACAGTGTGCTATGAGGGAAATTTTGCCCGGACAGCGGCACTACGGCCAACTCTTATATTGAATTCCAACTGCCAAGGGATCTTTTACGTGCACGCCAATGTGTACACGGGGCCTCGGTTTTTCGTCCCATCCGAACGAATAGACAGCTTTCCTTGTCAGCCCCTCCGTCCTACATCACTGACAAGGGAGAACCACGCCGGAAAATCTGGATGAACTTTCTCGGCCAATGCAGGGATCGAACACCCGACCTCCAGGCTAGCGAGCTAGCGTCTTACCCACTTAGCCACGTGATAGCGAACAGAATCAGTGCAAAGGGGTACAAAACAAAACGCCAATAAAAAATAATCTTAGTACATATATTATTTGATATCGGTGGTTACAGATTTCGTCAATCCGTGTCTAATAGATACAGAAACATTTATTGTATTATTTATTTAGGTGCGTCATTTGTTGTAAATTGAAGGAAAATATAGCAGGTCTGATTTTATACATTTACATTTCGCTCCGCTTTAAGAAATAGCACACAACCACATTCCTCCTCATCCATGCCCCTTACCCGCACCTTTCCCTATCCTAACCCCGAATGCTGGCTCCGCTACTGGGTATGATCTAATTATGATAATTGCCAATAAACAATAATATATAATGAAATCAGTCGGAGAAGGATGAGGGAACCTCAGGGTTAAAGGTAGAATAGCACAGAATGCCGATAACACCGAGGTATAAATGGCCGTTCACGAAGATGGCTAAAATCGATTGTCTACCAGAACTCATCTGTCTTCGTAAATCGGTGCAGACACTTAGGTACTATTTTATGCGTATCTAAAACATGTTATTGAATGAGTATTTAACTTTATCCGTTAATATATGTTATTCTATTCCAGGCTCAAATTGTACAGTAACCACCGGACTAATATGTTTTACTACTTATTGCAGGTTAGTATTGCATTGCGAGAGAGTAGGGGACAGACAGGGAGGCAGGCAGACTTCGATTCGATTCTTCAGAATGCTGCGTGTATGCGTATATTCGTTGGTTGGTCACGTCGTGTTTCATACTCACAAAGAGTTCGATTCGACTGAGACTAACATGTAGTACAATAATTATTTTGCGCATTGTGGTCTTTAATAAACCCACGTGGTTATAAGGAAACGATCTAACCCTTGTCACGTATGAACCTTGGATCGAACCCCGTCACTTGACTCAGTAACAACAGGTCTTACGATCTGCGTTAGAATTGAGTTAGGTCCGTTTTCCACGCGTAGGAAAAAAGTTGCTCCATGTGGGACTTTTCCGTAGCGTTTTTAGTGCACATACGTGCTGTATCGGATGTTTACTTTCTGGAGAATAAACACAAGTTCTCTTCAAATTCAGCTTGCAAATGGCAGATGTTGTGGACATGGTTTTCTTATAAAAAGGCGGCGGCGTGGAAATACAGAACCAACATCGTGCTTTGTATTTAAGTAAGGTTGCTAGAGTAACCATTAATACCATCTTGATGTGTGGTGATTGAACCCACTCCGTTTCTTGTATTTAAGTAAGGTTGCTAGAGTTACCATTAATGATATCTTGGTGTGTGATTAAGGCCACCTCGTGTCTTATATTTATGTAAAGTTGTTGGGGTAACCATTAATGATATCCTGATGGGTGATTAAACCCACCTCGTGTCTTATTTTCAAGTAAGTAAAATGTTCAGTTGTATATTTATCTATGATGGTTAATACATTTGTTTTGCAGTGATAAGGCTACATTAAAAACCTGTTTAGATAAAATAAGCTGCTACGTGGATGTTTTCAAGACAGCGTATGATGGCTATGATTCCACGTGTGGGAGTAAGTATTTAAAGGCTTAATTTTATGTATAATAATATGGTGTGGGACTACTCTTTGTAAGCACACCCTGATTATGTGAGAATGCATACAGAAGCCGACTTACCATACCCAGTTAAAGCTAGGAGGTGTGGTAAATTCGTGGCTCACGGATTCGACACCCAGAGTGATAATGGCACTTGCAGCCGTTTGTTTACAGAGCCAACTAGCTAACCATGTGTTTACAAAGGGTAATCAAGAAATAATAATGCAGTGCAAAGCCTAATAAAGAATCATACTAGAATACCCCCTCCATCATTTCCTCCTTTACCTGAATCAATCACTGTTTATACAAGATTGTTCCATCGATTCACAGATTCTATACTACGTATGGAAATTATTCGTAAGGCCATCGACCACCACACCGCTGGGTATTTTATTGAGAAATACATCTCAGAGACGAATTTCCCACAATCTACTTCGTTTTGTCAGATCAGCCCTGGGTACAATAGATCACCAACCAAAAGCAGATGTTTTTATTTTACAATTATTTTACACAACACCATGTCCGTATTATAAAGTATGGCATGTTGTATTTAACATTAACAACATACAGTTCTTCCACTGTTTTGTTTATATACTAGACCAGTTCACCATTAATACAATAATTCTACTTTCAGGTGGATGTACAGTGACTGTTAGTGTATCGATGATGTTCCTCTCAACTCTACTCATGTTTATCAAAAACTAATACGTGTTACTAATACTAGTACTTGCTTTTTCTAAAAATATAATTTATGACGACACTGTTATTTTTTTAACAGATGACTAAGATACTGTCACTTTTAAAAAATATAGAAACTATTTGTTAGAAAAATAATATTACACTTTTGTTTACAAAATAATATTACAAATTTCGATGTAAAGCGTTAGATTATTTTATCATTGACCATTGTATAAAACAAACAAATTGTTGGAAACTTTGGATATGAGGTGATGAAAAGTGACGTATTTATATACAGAATATTTCTAAGTATTATCTAATATTAAATATTAAATACATGTATATTAGTTTTTAGTCATTGACCATTATATTAAACATCTTAATTGATGAATATTTTGGATATGAGATGAAGAAAATTAATATGCTTCAATAATTGCTCCATGTTTGATTAAACCATTATTTTGATAATAATCTTATGCATCTCTGGCTTTAATAAAAAATTGTTTTAATAAAATGTGTTTTATATGAAATTTATTTTTAGCGATATCTATAAACTATTGATTCTCAACCATTGTGGCGCGAAATTTTGAACGACACACTAAGAAAATGCGATAAACCACGTGATCCCAATTGAGTATTCACTGGTGTCTAGTGATAAGTTCATGGCTGTGTTTTTCTTTATTTAGTTTGAGTTATTCCATGTTTCTTTGACTAGTGTGTGTCTACGGTTGTTTGCCGTCTATGTTGCCATGTTTTTTATTTTGCAAAATACAAATATTTTTCATATATATACTAATGTCCAAGAGAAAGTATACACTGTGCATTTCGTCCTGCTTCAAACAAAGTCGTTTTTCCATTGTATGCGGTATTTGGGTACGGTTTCAATTTGTGTTGCTATTTATTTGCTTAGAAATATTGAGTTTGGACGCACGAGACATGTTCAGTGTAGTTTTATCACATTTTTTTTTATTTAAACAAAACTTAGTCATATTTTATGTGTCCCAAAGTGTGCCGTTGGCAAAAAAAAGGTTGAGAACCACTGCTATAAAGCCATACGCCAATAACTCCAGCCAACTTCTTATTCAAGGTGTATGTTCGTTTTTTTTATAATCTCTACAGGAATCTGAGGGAGGCCTCCCTGAACGTCGCGTGTTTTACTGGCGGCATTGTTTTACGACTTCTCATTTAAAGGACAATGTTGGTGTCAGCCATTATTACATATGTGACAGAACTGGTTAAACACATTCCAAATATAAAATTTGAAGAAACGGGAAGTGACGCAAAAAGTTACAAACACGAGTTTTCCTTCTATATAACTGACTGAAGTAACGAGCGATGACAGACACACGGTCGAATTTCATTTCACTGATAATTCCGTTGAAGTTGAAAAGTTGTTATAGAAGACTGTGAGAGGATCTCTGACAATTCAAAAAAAAAAGAATTGAATGTCATTAGATAAGAGAACACGAGAAAAATAAAAAAAGGTCGGTGCAACCCCTTGTTTTTAGTCATTCTGTACTTAATAAAAACATGGTAATGCACGGACTTTTTCTAATTTGTTCGTGTTTTTCTTCCCACACGAGTTCATACAGTTTGATCTCCGTGCTATTAGGTTCATTCATTGGCACAAATCTTATTTTCCGAGCTAATTTTATTGTCGTCGTTCCAACTGACGATTAATACAGGCAAATAATTTTTTTTTCAAAAGCGTCAATCAAGTCTTCAGAACTTAATCATAATCGCCCAACCAAGTTTCAATGTATGGTATGTCGTGGTTCAGATGTACGTCACATCGATTCCAGCATGTGCCACAGATCCACACATTTCCCGGCGCCGCCACCCAACTCCAAAGTGCCCTAAGCTTCGTCTGCCTTCCCTCCTTCGTAGGACCCAGCACGCCTCTGGTTATTCCCGTCCCACGCTACCAAGGTAATGACACATGACTAGCGATGTCTAATCGTCTAATTTGTTAAAGTGGGGCCGATACGTCCCACCAAAATGGCCCCTCTGCTTCATGCAAATCGCGGCAAAGACCGTAATACATATAGGGAGCCACGTTGGCTCAGTGAGTAAGACGCTGGCTCGCTAGCCTCGATGTCGCGGGTTCGGTCAAGGTGTTGGTCGAGAAAGTTCATTGTGATTTTCCGACGTGGTTTCCCCTTGGCAGTGTTGCAGGACGGTGGTCCTGACAAGGAAAGTTGTCTAGTCGTTTGGTTGCGACGAAAAAAAAAACAGGGATCCCGTTACACATTGGCGTGAACACAAAAGATCCCTTGGCCGTTGCGCTGATTTTCTGGCAAAATTTGAACCTCATGGGTTTACTCAGGGTACCCCAGGTACCTCCCAAAGGAAAGGTATGAGCCCTATCGATTTTCTCAGTTTTCCGTCCATCTCTTTCAAAATGTAGGCGCATCGTGCATCGCCAAAGATTGTTAAATTTGTAATTTACTGCAAGTAATAAGTTTGATGTATTGAAGTAAGCATATTAGTAAAAATATTACTGGTTGAAGTGTTAGAATAATGAATTCCCCCACATACTAGGACGCTTCCGTATTATATTATTCATATAACGTGTCATGTTCTATTACATATACCTAACTGATACTTAGCACTTCCGGACTATACATTCCAAAGATACGTGTACTTTTCCAAAGTGAAGATAAGAATAATGACCACTATCGATTTTCATCATTCCACGACTTTCCGTTCCGGGGTTATTATCAGGGCTAAAGTTTTAATTTTATACAAACATATATTGGTTTTAATTGCTGGAATCACGTGTGTGCGTGTCTTGTAATCGGGTTACCTACCAAATTTATTTGCAAATGTTAAGTTTATGGTCGATTGTCATTCTGTCCACATATCTTGTAATCACGACACCGGCCACAGGTTTTGAGATACTTTTTAAAACACTGAGTGATTATTAAAGTCTCACTGCGTCATTTGCAATTTTCGTTAAAATATCAAATTTCTCCCTACACGGCGTAATTCTTTTGGTTATTTAACATTTTTTTAAAAAAACAAAAAACAAAATCAAAATACTAATACACATATACAACGTCCTAGTTTTAATCACCCTTAAATTAAATGGACTTTTCCATAAAAAGTGAACAATGATTGGATAATTGTTCGATGAGTCCACCAAATAACGGAAAATTACCAAACTAATCACGTGAACCCATTGTTTATACCCAAATACCTTGTCACCATTTTGGAGTAAATATAGGTTCAATTGAATTGAAAGCAAAAATAAAATGGATAGCAATACATTATCAGACGAATAGTCTATTGACGGAGGAATAGATGTGAATGCAAATCCCGACGAGAATCTACTAGTTGCTAGCCAAAGGCTGAAGAAAATTTGGATCAAAAGGCAATCTTTTCCGATAATTCGGACAGTCAACTGTGGAGGTTTTTGGTATGTTCAGAGAAGGATTTGATCGACTGTTTTAAGTGGACTCTACCCAAAATTACTTTACAAAGGAACCCTTGGGCTATAAATAATGTATGGAGAAAATAATCGAAATGTGGACGAAAAGAAAATTATGAAAGATATCTTAGACATGGATAACAGATCTAAATATGTCGATAAGTACGCCGTCTAATTGGTACTGAATGCTACAAAGTGTACTATAAAAAAAAAATTGTCAAAAAAATAAAAAAATATTTCTGTGTTCCTTTGCATTATTTCGACCATCAACGTCATCAACCTATGATGACGTCATGACAGGTTGATATGAGATATAACTTCTATGCACATCAAAGAAAAAACTACAGCCAGTTGTATATACCTGTTTATACACTCTGATGTGCTGGTATGAAATGCAAAATGCAATCGGAAGTAGGAATTTGAAAGTACATTTGTAAATATGGAAGTTACAAGTTCAGAGTTATTATGGAGGTATGTGAAACTCCATATCACCGGCTTCTATTTTGTTGTTTGGTATTCAGTTCATTTACTGATATATTTATTATTTTTTTAATTCCAGATAGATGAAACAATAATACTACAAATGAAATCGGAAGATCTGAAAAAATATACCCTCTAAGTATGGCGACTGCTTAGCTTTACCTGCCTTCCTTAAGCAACAAAGGCAAATGGAAGCAGGATGTGTACCTTCTACCTATAAGAAAATGACGCTACGCGATAGACTAGCAGCTAAACCAACTAGCATGATACATTAATACGAAGGGCGTTATCTGCCCCAAACTGGTAATAAAAAGGCGACAAAAAAGGTTGAAATTGGTTGGTTGCACCAGTAATTGGATGACTGTGAGTCTAGACATGTTCAGTCTCAGAACGGTGGAGGCACTCAAAGGATTGTCAGACCATTTATAAAAAGCTAAAAAAAGTGCCTGTTTTAGAATTCAAATTCTGGATGTCAGAACAAACGCAAGTAAAACAACCCAACAGCGAGGCTGATGTCCCCCGCCGAAATCCCGAAATAAATAAATAACACATATTAATTGATTGCATGTTTATCTTTTTCAAAAGTATCGAGCAATCAAACCCAACACTAAGTTTCACCACTCTCTATCAGATGAATCAAGATTATCTTGTCCCTGTTCACTCTCTGGATTGTTCCCCTTTGACTGCTAATATAAGCGACCATGCACGTGCATTCAACACTTGGCCAGGTGATTTTGTGGAGGCCAAAGAAAAGGACAATCTAGGGATTGAGACAGAGGTTGTGGAGTCTAGTTCTTGGATAGGGGGAGAGGAGACACGAGGAGGAAGGGGGTGAAAAAAAATACCCTTCGGATGCACTTTGTCCTGTAGTCTTTATAGTGTTCGCGCACTATACCTACAATACTTATATCTACAGGGAAATGGGCAATCCATATAGACCAGTACACAAAGCATCGACCAATGAAATTGATCAGCCCTGCTTAGCTTCAACTCGAAATGTTCATCATTGACCTCAGTCAAGACATTCACCTAATGAACATCTAAATCAAGTTTAAACATTCTACCTCCATCAAAAGCAGAGCTGTTATGTTCCAAAGTCTCGACCAATCAAATTGCTTATCGCCCTGCTTACCCCGAGCAGAAAATGCCCATTATCGAACTTAGTCAAGGTATTGATGTAATGAAACTAACACCAAGTTCCATCACTCTCACTTAATTAGAATTAAAGTTATCGTGCCCCAAAGCATCAACCAATCAAATTGCTTATCTCTGTTTACCCTAAGCAGAAAGTGCTCGTCTTCGAACTCCATCAAGGCATTGACCTAATAATCACCTACACCAAGTTTGAACATTCTAGCTCAATTAGAAGACTTATTGTTTTCCAAAGTCTCGACCAATCAAACTGCTTATCGCTCTGCTTACCCTGAGCAGAAAATGCTCATTATCGAACTTAGTCAAGGTATTGATGTAATGAAACTATACACCAAGTTTCATCACTCTCACTTAATTAGAACTAAAGTTATCGTGTCCCAAAGCATCAACCAATCAAATTGCTTATCTCTGCTTACCCTAAGCAGAAAATGCTCATCTTCG